CCCCAAAACCCCAAAACCCCAAAACCCCTCTCAACCCTTAACTATAAAAAAAACAAAAAATGTTAAATTACACCACAGTGAAGTATACCGACTGACTGAGATTTTCAGTAGAGATTTCGACTTGGACAGAAGAGAATTGGGCTGGGAGGTCCTGGTAGGAAAGGTTTTGGGGCAGGTGTTTGAAGATTAGTGTGGGGTAGGGTGAGGGAGGGGAGAGGAGGGGGCTGGTGATGTTGAGGATCATGGAGTAGTGGGTCTTGTGTGAGGGGGATTGTTTGGGAGAACAGCCGTAGAAGAAGAGGTGGGGGTGGGAAGAGGAGGGGGGTTGAGGGTGAAGGGAGTCTAGAGGTGTGTGAAAATGGGGGTAGGGGGTTGAGGAGATTATAGGATTGGGTAAAAATAGAAGGGATGAGGTAGATGTAATTTTTTGTCAGATTGGGGTTTTTTGAAAATTGTCTTACTTAAGAATCCTGGTGTAAATCTTTGTTCAGGAATAATTCACTGTTCTATGTACAACTGTACCAGATGCTTTCCGTGAAGCAAAATCCTGCTTAAATCAGTTTTAGTCAGCACAAACTTAAGAAGACAGAATTGGTTGGTAGTCATGCCCATAGTTTTGTACACAAGTCTGTTGTAGAATTTATTTTTGAATAACAACTTGAAATCTCTGTTTCCTACGAATTGATTCGTGAATTTTGATCTGAAAGATAGACAAGATTTATTGATAGGAAATGGGTCAGAGATGGACTCTTGATCTAGGCTAAATATGTTCGAGGAACGCCAATCAGAAGATCGATAGGAATACCTTGGATATCTTAGATGATATGCATTGATCTTTGAAGGAAGGAATATCATTCTAGTATTACTCTCTTCAGGTCCGTCTCCAATAAAGTAAACTATTTGATTAATTTCTCTCATCACAATTTTCCCAATACTTCTCTGCGAAATACATGCTTTCCAAATCTTTTCATTACATTTCTTCTCTTGTATTCTCAATCTTTTCTCAATTTTCTTAGGTTTAGATCCCAAATTTCCCATTTTTTCTAACTTATTATAACTTAATTATTCTAAAATTTATCATAATCCCGGGGTTTTGGGGTTTTGGGGTTTTGGGG